CCGCACGCGCCGTCTTCGCTTCTAGGGTCGGCCGGGTTTGTTCCAATGCGGAAGAGAGTCGCCAGAACGTCTACCCGGATTCGAAGAACAGACCAAAGGCTGTTGTAAAAGCTTTGCACCGCTAAATAGGTTTCCTGCGCGAACTTCGAGTCATCTGCACATTTCTGCGTCATTTCTCCGTCCTTCGAGCATGAAATCAGTCGCATCTGCGCCAAAGCGTTTTTAACAGCACCATCAACAACTCGCCTGCACTTGCGCAAATGCTGGGGGAAACACTTCCCATCGCTGTCCTTGAGGTTGTTGAAGCTGATCATCGTAGCACCGAGAGCCCCGAGAAGAACCTTGGAGGGCGGCTGTACCGTGCAAGAATCTGGAGAAAAGTACTTGGTAGCTACCGTAGCAGGCACTATCGACGGCACAGGCGGGTCCGTCCATTGGTTGTCGGACCAATGAGGGAGAACAGTTGTGCACACGCCAAAAGGGCCGCGTGCATCGACCGGATCTGTTCCAAAATGGAAGAGAGTCGCCAGAACGTTGACGTTCGACTTGAGATCAGCAGGTTGTAAGCCTCGGTAAACCATTTGGACAGCTTCATAGTTGCCGGCCGCCGCTTTCATATCCTGCTGGGCCGTGCTAATCGTCTTCGACTGACCGTCATCGCCTCCAACTGAGGTTCGGGCTGTCTTCGTGGTCCTAAGGTCGACGAAGCTCAGCTCATCCATCGCCGTCACGGTGCTCATTGCAGAGCTGTTGCTTGCAGAGGTAGAAAAAGCGCGACCAAGACGAGCGCGAACGGCTGGATGTTGAGGCCCAGCGGTTGTACCATTGCGCGCGGCGCCACGGATGTTAGAAGAGGCGGAGGCGTCAGGAAGTTGACGCTAATCTATCAAATGAAGGTGAGAGATCAACAAGAGGCCCCATTTTCCCATCCCGAGCGCCTTAGTTATCACTCGCGAAGATCACATCAAGAGAGCCAGTCCCCCATCTGCTTACTGATGGGGGCAGTCTTTCTATAACAAATAACCCCTCTACTAGCTTGGATTGTAAGCTTTCAGCTTCGAACCATAATTGGCGCCACCAATAGACTCACCAAGAATGCCAGGCCTACTACTGCAATCGAAGACACCAAGAGCAAGAGCAACAAGGCGCCAACCTTCTTGATGTGGTAGTTGGTCTGCTTGCTCATCACGCTCGCGCGGCTCATGAGCATGGCATCGCACGCCCAGACAGGCAAAACGCCACCGCCAGCGCTTGCTCTATTAGAGGATAGGAAACATCTGTAGTGAAAATAGCTAACCCATCCGAAGGGCACGCTACAAAGAAGGCGCAAACGCCGAGGCTTCATCGGCACTACTTCTAAAGCCCGAGGATGGATAAAGGCTCTACAGGCTATAATAAGCTTCCGCGTAGAAGTTCTCGCTAAGTGGAACCATCACGAAAGTAGCAGGAGTACTATGTATGCTTGTAGCTGAAGATCGAAAGACTGACGCTACGCGGCATAAGTGCAAGAACTTCACCACTGTGGCCACCGCCGTGGCCGGGGTCCCTCTCCATGAGCGGAGCTGCTTCGGCATATGCCTCTTCGAGGAGCGGCATCTTTTTCTCTGATTATTGTTGGCCACGAGAAAGTTTACTGAGCCACTCGCCGTTGTGTTGAAGTGGTGCGGTTCTTTCGTCTCTTCGTGGTGCAAATCAAAATGACTTTCACGGATATAATAACTAGAAGGCTAGAATAGTAGTGCTGTGATATTAGGAAGTAGAAGTTGTTTCTAGATTGTGGCGTCGGTGTCTCTAGTTCTTGTCAGACCTAATGCTGAGCTTTCTCAGCGTGTGCACTTGCTCCTATTTTTTTTGGTGTTTGAAGATCGTTTTTCAAGTGATTTATTCTTACATGGAAGAGCATGGATGTAGTTGCTGCTCTACAAACTAGCTACTTACATGACAGGGGCAGTATGGGTCTAGGTAGCAGCGGGCTTCGCTTTGTTTCGGTGAGACTTTTGACCGATATATCAAAAAGATGGCGCATGGCATCGACATGGAGACCGACACAAGAACGAAGACGCGCCCATAACATATACAGATGATACCTCCACTACCGTCGGTAACCGAGTGATTCATAATATAATTGAGAACACCTTCCTCTCCTCAACATCAACAAGTCCTGCGTTCGCATCAGGTACGACAGCTATCAAATGACCCAGCAAAGAAATACGAGCTGCTTCTCTATTCTATTCTGTCGGCAATGTCGCGCTACCCTCGTCCTCTGGGCTCTCGTACTCTCCACACCATCATTGACCACTGACACTAACTCTATTTCCATCATATTGGTCACAAATCAACATGCCAGCAGCTAGCGCGATGCGTCTCAGTTGCAATGATAGCCAGTCTCAGTGGTCACAATGCGTCTCAGACGACCTAGGCTTGACGCAAAGAAGCAACGGCTTTACACTGGATCTGGAAAACAGCCTGTAGTTCGTCATAGATATCTCTCAAGAAGATTTTCCGAAGTTATTGAATACTTTCAAAAATGAGACATCATTCGGAAAAAAGCTTTCTGCTCGCGTTTCTATCTTATCGCTCTCAGTAGGTGCAAACACTTCTTGTTCAGACGAGAATGAAAGAAAATCAAAAAACAACATTGCTCTAGCCTCCGCCTTCGCTTCCATTCTTCTAGAGATGTAAATTAATACGAAAGAAAGACAACTTCCAAAAAAAGTGAGAACTCGTTAATTTTGATTCAGTCTCTTTTGATGGTTTTTATCAGAGACAACTCAGCTGCATAATCCTCAAACAACTCCTGTTACTCTTTGCTGATAGACTACCTACAACTTTGGCGATATGATATGCGAAGTTGTAGCCACACCTTTTGCCAAGCAGGTTAATATACAAGTAGTACAACTTTGGTCTTTGGTGATATAGACGGAGCAACATCTTCTCAGCAACTTCTTGCTTAGTAGCTAGAATGACACGGAGGATGATCCGTCTTTATCTTCGTTTCCCCATTGAAGTGGATATACGGCAAGTAGATGAAGATACGCGTCAACATAAGAGAGACGTTGTATTAACATTTGTGATCATTATCTATCATTACACTTCATCATGTAGCTCAATAGAAGCTGTCGCGAAATTTATTACTTTAGGGAGCAAGCGAGTGATGATTTCGCTTTTTTGCCGAGTGATACAAATTTTGATGTTCAACTCATTCACGATGATGAATACATAGCAACATAAAAAGTAAGTTTTTGCACAACTGAACCCTGTTGAGTGGTCTCATTTGTGGTCTTCCTCTTCAAAACAATAGCACTATGCACATCTTTGTAGAAGTCTTCTCTTGTCTTCCTCTCGTACAACAGCGCCTACTGGCATCTTCATCCCATCTTTCTTCTTGACGTACGCGCACGGCAGCGCCTACTACCATCTTCGTCCCGTTTTAATTTTTCGCCTCGTACAAGAACAGCACTTACTGGCATCTGCATCCCATGTGGTGTCTTCTTGACGTACACGCACAGCAGCTTGTCGTACTAGCCCAATGCTCTTATCTCCTCCAGCAGCAGATGAGCTAGTGCATAACCCTGACGGATTTCTTCACTACTGCCTTCAATTTGCCTTACATTAGATCTCCCCACGGAGAGTTGTATAAGTGCATCTCCAGTACTAGCCACTATGCCTACGGAGGGTAGACAGTTGCTGACTGACAAGATCAACTGCAGTTGATTTGTTCACAATACTCTCATGCCTCAGATGAGCATGCGCATGGAGATTTGTATTTAAGAGTATCTCTGATACTAGACCCTATGGAAAGTAAATCAAACCAAGCGCAAATCTATGGAGAGAAATAAAACAAGAGGCACAAAGAAATAGCTGTAGCTAGCAGTCCTTGTAGGCGAAAGCGTAAAGGAGTTTTTCCTTAGGGTCGTAGACGGAATCGTAGCAGTGGCCTTAATAGTTGCAAAGAAACTAGGTTTTTGACTGATTAAGGACAAGGCATAGCCTTGTTGCCAGTAGTATGATTATAGCCAGATGACCGCGCGCTAAGCAATCGATGTTCTTGATATCACGACCCTAATAGAAATAGATAAGTCGTAACAGTTGCCTTAATAGATAAGTCGGCAAGTTGATTCCCTCGCTGCTGAGCCGGTCCACACTGAAGGTAACGAAAGCTGCGAAAAAGACCTGGACCGAAGTCGTGATCAAACTATGACCCGGACCGAAACTCTGCAACACGAGCAGCGAAAATTAGAAATCTACTTTGTGGTTTTTGATGTTAATTATTCACCGACCGTCTATCTAGAAGAAAAAGAAACTCGTAGGGAGGATGACGACATGGAGCCAAACAATCGTTTAGAGCAAGATACCTACTAACATTGTTGAGCCTGAAAGATACCCACTAACAGTGGTCTCTCATACAGATACAGGCAACTACACACTCACCCTCAGCTTCACAGCTCACACGAGAGTAATCAACTATGATTGATGCGATAGATTGTGTTTGTTGGGATAAATCTAGGGTATGGGGGAAAACTAACCGGTTTCTTTTTCTTTGTGCGCCATAAAAGAAGAGGAATATCAGTATGAAGAGAGCACTGTAGCCGAGCATCGTTAAGAAAATCTGATCCGATTCCAAACCAAGCTCGCGCATGAACTGCCGCTGAAGTCGCTCTTTCACCAAGATCAACGCTGCCAACTGGATTAGAGGACTCTCATTGATTCATCCATTCATTGTACTACAGGAGCCAGCAGAGTTTTTGTATTTGTATTCTCAGCAAAAATGTTCTCTTCTACCCCAGAAGCAATAGCACCATAGTAGAAGCAAGAATCTTCTGAGATATTCAAGAAGGATTCCCTCATCATTCTGACTGAGGCAAGTTAAACAGTATCCTTATCCTGTCGCTAAAGATGAATGAAGTACTATGCTGACAAGCCTTAACTGGAACTGTTCAAGGCGGAGGCGTTCTTCCTTTTCCGCTTGAACGTAAGTGTCATACAAGTCCGCGTAGGAAAAGTTCAGGCTCGGATTAGCGGAACTAACAACAAAATCATGGTGACCTCATCATTCTGGAGCACTACATCTTCTAGAAGGTGAAGCAAGAAGTGCTAGAGTCTGAAGAAGTGGAAGTACAAGGACTAGTACTAATCGAGCTAGACTCTGAGACTGAAGAGCAAGGAAGAGGAAGCAGGAAGTTATACCACATGCACGACTACATCAACGATTTTTAATAGAGCCATACCTAAGGCCTGTATGGTGCGCCGGAAGTAGCGGAAATCCATTCCCGATGTCTTCTTAGAACGTTCCATCAGAATGTAGCTGTAATCAGAGTGTAGTTTGAAGCCACGTATCTTGCGACACCTTTCCTTTCTGTTTCTTCTAGTTGACAGGGTACACAACTTTTCTCTCCTGCTCTAGTTGAAAGGAAGATGCCTTCGACAAGGTCCATTTACCGATTGAAAGAGCAATACCTTCGATAAGTTGGTGCACGACATGTAGTTACCTTTCTTAGGGGGCGAAGCAAGAACCACCAATCTTGAATGATATCCAACAAGAAATCGATATCGATTGTGTATTCTACTTCTGGAATAGGAATACAACTGCTCAGAAACGATCTATAGAGATAGACCATCTGCATTTTTATCATTTTTTCCGAAAGCGCAAGAAGTCATGTTGGAGCCAATTTGGAGCAAGTCAGACTCATAATCTTCCCGACGCCTTTGAGGATCCGATAGCAGTCGTCGAATGGGAGAAACCCCGTCATCTGTTTCGTCGAATTGCTCTTCTCAACGTCTCCTGCCGAACTCTGTTCCACAATGTTTTTTATCAGCAACTCCCGAAAGATGCTTTCTACATGGATATTAGAAAGAGCGTCGTTAATCATATATTGATAACACAACGAAAACGATGTGGGAGTAATATAAATCATTGTGGGAGGTGGGTCGATGATATATAAGTAATTATATAACGCTGTAATGTGCATGTGGTCAAAAATAACGTGAGTAGCCCTTCTAAACTACCGGCAAGACGGAACAGATTCAAGAACTTCAAGGTCAATATAACGTAAGGTAAATGTGGTCAAGAATAACGCGTATATCAAAATTGGTGTAGTGAAAGCTGCCACGGAGGAAGGATAAAGAACCAAAATAGCATCGGCGAGCTTCGACTTAATGGGGGCCAGCTTTTTGATGCTGGCAACAATTTATATTTTTCGAGTTTAATGGGGGTCAACTTTTTCATACTGACATCAACAATTTGAGTTGCTATTTTACGAGTTTAAAAGTTGGGTGTACTAATCAAGCGCCCTCAAGAGAAGTTACTCATCGTAACATCCGGAGCGACGACGACGTCGAGCGAACGCAGTATCTCTTTGGCAAACTCTACCCACATCCCACTTCGAAGCAGTACCTCGATTGTTAAGTCGGTAACAAATTCTTAGAGAGAGCTAAGTGTCCCTAGCAAACCATTGATTTTGATATCCGTGGACATCCATCACCATCTCTGTGGAGATGCATCTCTGTGGTCGGTGCTAAGACGAGCGCTATCCCCTCGCTTCCAGTCTATCTACTCTGTCCTCGTCAAGGTCAACTATCTACAGTACGGAGTAAAAAGTTAACAGGTAAATAGGTCTACTCGTCCACCACCTACGTCTTCTAGTAGATATTGCAGTTGCCATTCATTTATTTTCATGGGGTACAACGCCAGATGAAACGTTGACGGATCCCCTTGAATTGTTGACGAATCTACTTCCCTGTACTAGAGATGGATTAGGAGATGGAGCATAAAATTCGATCGGCACAAGTTCTTTTGGAGGCCATGGCGCCACAGAGGTACTCGCAATCTGCTCTTTGTTGTCTTCTGCTTCGAGATTAGAGAACTTAGAGGTGGAGCTTGTTGTTGTCTCTTGTTCTAGGTTGAGCAACAAAGTTCTTTAGTAGTCTTTCTAGGAGTGAAAGAACTACATTTTTGGAAAGAGAGTTACGTCTTCTGAAGTAGAAGCAGTACATCACGTGCGACCGTAGTTGGTCTTTATTCCTGCCTATCGAGCGAAGATCCTCTCACTACTACTTTAATAGTACATCCTACTTTTACTACATTATGATAGAGTAAGCATCTGTGTGCCCTCTTGCTATCTACAACATTCCACAGATTCCCTCAGATGGAAAAAGTAGAAATTCAAAGTTTCAAATTTCAAAAAAAAGAAGTCGAAATTTCAATTATTCTCGAAAAAGTGGTTTTTTATCGCCCAAAATTCAAATTCATTTTCTGGTGATAAGGTTTTCACGACACTTACACTTGACTAGCTAATGGCCGCTAATCACTACGACCAGTAATAGGCATCGTCAGGGACAGATTCGTCTCAGCTGAGAGGAGCTCAGTAATGACGCCACAGTCACATGACAGGTCTCAAGTTTCAACAACGACACATCAAACACTCACTATCATGGAAGAACAAAGCATTCAAGATAATCAACTACGTGAAAATGAAATACAACAAGATCTTTACTAATCCTCATAAGCCTACTAGTGTTTAGTTGAAGCTAGACACTTTCTCCTAGTGAAAGACCACGAGGACGTTGACGTAAATGTATCTTCTAGTACTTCTACACGACGACCTCGATAAGGTTAAGATACTTCTACTTGTTCTACTAAAATAGTACTCATGTCAATGTTAATGTCCTAGTCCGACAACATCGAGATATTTTCACTACTTCCTCTGCTGAGTGTGAATCTACTTCTGCATCTACTTCTGCAACTAGTGCATCTAAATATACAACGACAACCTTTGAAGTCGATGGATTCGTAATGTTATACTCCTCATTCCGCATCCGCAGATCCGTTATCCACTGCCCAATGAATGTTTCAGCCATGTAAGAGGGCAGCTCTACCGTGGAGTTCTGCAAGGCACCACGCCGATAGTTAGACGGAGACGCTGTAACTGTGGGCTCCTGTTGGTCTAGAAGGTACTGGCTGTAGTCGTGCTGGCGAACAAGATGAAGCACAACAAGCAGAAGCGTCTATTTGTATTTGTTTCTTTCGTTTTGTCTACGACGAACAATACTTACATCATTCCACTTTTAGCTAGAGTCGACCATTACATAAAGTAGCTGAGGGCGAATGAACGCTCCAGGACCAGCCCGCGTGATAGATATAGGTGAACATTTATTAGCAATCTAGAGATATAGCAGGTAACATTTTTGTTTGAGATTGAGATATTTGATTCTACTTCATAAATTTCGGCAGTATGATTTGATCCCAAAGTGCTAGAATCGCGGAGTCCGGAAGCTGTATCCGATGAAAATGTAGAAAGTAGAAGAATGCTTCCCTATGGACGCCGAAATCGATCACATCTCTTAGAGCTTGGCTTCCCCCAATAATTCATCCCTGCAAAGGCACACTAATATCCTATTCGATCCTATCCCTGTGGAGATCCCTCAAGTAGAATATGCCTCAAGAGTATCTCCCTGGTATTGGGGTGCATACTATTGAGGATGAGGGATCTCCAGAGAGTTGGCGTTGGATTAGGGGAAGCCCTAAATCTGAAAATAGACTCTGTGCTCTGCTTCGAGACAAGAAGAGGCTTTGGCGTGAGTCGTGTCTTTTAGAGGATGAAAAGGAGAACGTCCTCTTCACGACTTTTTAAACACTACGAGGGACGACAGGGATCGACGATTTAAACACGACTACGAGCGACACAGAAGACAAGATACTTTCAAGCTCACTCTACTGTCGCTTCACGACGATTCAAACACGACTACGAGCTACCGGGAAGATACGTTCAAACTTACTCATCTACGTCTACTGTCGTGGAAAGACTACTAACAAGTACAACTACACGAGGGAAAGGGATCCAGCTTTTTCGCATCCTCTGTCGTGGCTCGTGCTAGTGGCTCTTGGGCTCTTGGTCTTGCGGAGATGAGTTATCAAATGCCTTAACTGCTGATGCTGTTGCTGTTGGGTCAGCCTCAGCGCCATTTTCCGCCACTTTTTAGAGAGATGCTGCAGTATAATCTTCAAGACTTCTTGCTTTTTTTCAAGATTCATGTTGCAGCTTGATGAAACTCCTAGAAGTGGAGCTTGATGAAACTCCTAGAAGTTTCACTACTCCAGAAGATGTTGCTGCTCTTGATGTTGATGATCCACAACTCTATCAAACATTAAAAGTGGTCCGTCGACGACGACTTATTTGCGGCCTTAACCTGCTCTGGAAAATGTAGGTGCTCTTCTCGTCCCTACGTCAGAGGTGTCTTCCATAGCCGTCGCCCTCCTCAGAGTTAGATGCGCGCGCGCAAATTCATCAATTGTTGATTTCCCTGCCTTCTACAGCCAGTCCTTGGTCTGACTAAGCAAACCACAAAAAAAAAATGCTTCTCATCATCATCATCTATCTATGAAGATTGATGAATCAAAATCAATTACGATTTATTAGGTCCTTGACGGCGAGGTCGCGAGCCTTAATTTCTGCGACGTGTCTCTTTGTTCTGCATGTTCTCTCGCATAATGCGCAAAGAGTGCTCGTGCTTGCTCTCTGGTCAATGGCAGACGCATTTGCATCATTATGAGGAATAAAGGCTCAAACCACAGACCCCTTGGGACCTGTTGCGCCGGAGGCTGTTGTTGATATTAGACGATAGCAGATGATCATCAACATGTTTAACATTTAGGGATGGGGTTTCTGTTACCACATTCTTGAAGAAGATCATGATGTTTAGCCTTTACTAGGGAGGTTTCGAGTACTATACGAAATTGAAGATCTTCATGCTTAGGTTTCTCTCTCTCTTCTGCGTCTACGAACTACATCTACTTTATTGAAGTTGAAGACTCATCAAGAGTCTGAACACTTGTTTTTTGTCTTTCGTAACGCCCCTACGCGTATTCACTGAAAGATAAGACACCAATGGAGAATCTGAATCTGAATCAGGAAGATATCATGATCTATAGTATATCTTTCTATCATGCCTTAGTGTCGTTGCGGAGGTGAAGGAGTAGCAACAGCTGCAGTGTTGTTTGTCTTGTCGGTCTTCGAATTCCGAGGCGCGACATGCATGCTCGAGCTTGACGAAGGAGCTTCAGCATTCTTGGCGTCACTGCTCACAAGGCCACTTTCACCTTTCGCATCCGCAGCTGCTGCTAATGCAGCTCCTTGTTCAAGTGCGGCCGTGGTCGACTGACCGACTTCTTTTCTAGTAAAAAGCAAATCCTTAATTAGAAGCTTATGTAAGTAGTGCTTTTTTCACTAACGTCTATCAATCCGTAGTACAACTAGTTCTCGTTGAGTGAGCTGCCCTAAGAACTATCCCTGATACTGGTTGAGTGAGTTGCCCTCATACATTGAATATATTATAATAGAAATCTCATCCAATGTGTCTGATCTAGATTATCCGATGATAGATCATCCAACCTGTTAAATTCAGATAATGATCTTAGCTTCAGAAATCTCAACAAGCTCGTCCTCTGTATGAAGTTTCCGTGGCGCGCAGATGCAACTCGCCACAAGCGAAGGGTTGCGGTGTGTACAAAGGGAGGATCTAAACCCTTGGTAGCTTCCGAGGATACCTCCGAAGGCATGGCGACCTCTTATTAGAACTAAGGAAATTGACCACAAGATGTTGGCGGAAATTGACTAAAAGACTAAGACGCTGGTAAACAAGACGATACCGAAGGCCTGGCGACGTCTTTTTAGAGCTAGCGGAGGAAGTCGTTGGCTCAAAAAGCATGCTGGTGGATTTGAAATTGACTAAAACACGTTGGTAAAAATTGACTCACCTCGAGTAGGTGCTCTTAATCTTTGCCTGCTGTGGGTGCAGACGCGGCTGCAGCGGGTGTAGTACTCACAACTGAGGCAATATCTACAACAACTGGAGGCATTTGTTTTTTGTTGCCAGAAGCTGCGTCAGCGCCATCGCCTGCTTTTCTTAGAGCGGGAGCTCCTCCTGCCTGTCTTCACGATAGTATAAGATCTAAGCTCTTCATCTACATGATACTAATTCTCGTGACGCTCGTCGAGCTGGAGCTCTTTGTCTAAGTACATCTTAATGTACCGGCCTCCTAGGAAAACAAGACAGACGCGCAACGAGTCAAGATGATACTGTTGGTCTTCTGTGGTATAATCGATCATATTATCGTTAAAAGGTCTTGTTTAGATCCTTGTCCTAATTTTTGGCTTTCTTCTTGTGCTGCGACAACACTCATCCTACAAAGATCCATGTAGGCCTCAATGTTCCCGCTGTATGGATCGAGTGCTTCCGCTGCTTAATTTAGAGCTACCATATGCAACCCCATCCCCATGATAATGTTGATCCTTGATTGGTGCTGCATGTGCAAATCCCCAGATCTAGTGATTCTTTCTTAAACTAGACCGCAGAAAATCAGCACCAATGAAAATTGTTGCCCTACCCAGAAGCAGTGGCGCTCAAGCGCTACTGAAAATGTCGCTCCGCCTTCTGACATTAGTAGAAAAAGAAAATAGAAATACTCTGATTAGCCTAATAAGAGGGTCTTCGCGTTTCACTCTCGCCAGCGGCAGAGTTGTCAGTGCGACGCGCACCATGCAGCGCAAAAAGCGCTCGCCTGAAAAAGTAAGCCGCCGAGGATCCCCGCCCGCGGCGCCTTGCTTTGTCACATATCCCCGAGCCCGAACACGACCGGCGGCGCGCCTTCTCACATTGCTCACCCATTGCTCCCCACCTGCGCAGAACACAACATCCGTAACACATACGCCACACCAATCGCCGCCCGCAATTATCCGGCGACGGGGCGGGCGGGCTGCTGCAGTTGCGCCACCTTGCTTCCCCTACTTACAGCCCCCGCTATGGGCGCGAACAATGATTGACCACAGCCACACGCAACGAATCAATTTAGCACGGCCCCCCCGCGCACCTTGCTGCCACGACAAAGACCAAGCTGCCAGAATAACCGTAAGACCCCGCGGACGCATCCGCTACCTGGCAAAGAAGCGCCATCCACTACCGGCCGCCCTAGTACGCAGCTGCACGCAAGACAGAGCGGAAGGACAGAGGGGCCGGCTGGTCCCTCTCTCATGCCATTGCTTGGGCCAGCCATCACTTACCACGCACAGCACCCGCACGCACGCCGGGGAAGCTGCGCTGGTCCCCCGCAAGCAATAGCTCCGCCCCCCCCCCCCCCTAAGCAAAACAATGCCAAACAACCACGCACAAGACACCGAGGACGGCCCGCGCCTAAAGAAGAGCCGGCGCCGCCGCTTCCCTAGTCCCCCGACCGAAATGACAAAAAGCGGCCCCCCCCGTCAGTCGGTCTCCCTCTCTTCCTTATCCGAACGAGACAGAGCGCCGACACCAATAGACAGACAGGAAAAGCCTGCCAGGCAGGGCATAGACACGGAGAAACGAGTGGAGCAAAAGCTGCCAAGCCCGACGCGAAACAACCCATGCCACAGCGAACCGACGCAGCCTCGCACGCTACGCACCCACGGGCACCCGAGCGAGCGAGTCTCACTTTCAATTTAGTCGACGGGCGCGGGGGGGCGCCGCAGCCAGCCGACAAACAAAAAACAAAGAACGAAAGGCCCACAAAAAAGGACGAAGAGACCAAACAGCAGACACGAGTAGAAGGAAGAGCAGCCGGGGCCCCCAGGAGTCATTCACAAACCCAACACAGCGACAAAGAAAGGCGGCTCCAAGGTGCACAAGCCTGCCCGCCAAACCGAAGCAAAAAAGGAGAAGGCACCACCGTCGAACCCTACGAGAACTCACACACTGCCCGCCCGCCCACGCACGCGGCCACCGGTGCAGCGCACCGAAGAGCATAATCGCGGGACCACCTCCACCCCACTTCGAATTAGATAGACGAAGCCAGCGAAAGCAAAAGCAGTCAGAGGCCGGAAATAGCTCACCCAGCCACCCCAGCGACCGATGGGGCTTCAAGGTCAGCCTACAAAGCTGCATGACTGAACGAACACTCACGCACGCAGTTAACATTGGCACCCGCCCCGTTTGAAACGAGGGCGCCGGCAGTGCTGACGGCCCGCAAGGCTCCAGACATAACAACCAAGGCGACCCACTTAGCATCGGCGACAAAAATCACCCAGCCAAACATCCCAAGCCAGAAGAAAAGGCACAGCGGCGAAGCCCTCGACCCAAGCGCCGGCCCAGTGCCCGCCACGCGCCCTCCCCCCTTCACCCACACAACACAACCCTGCGCGGGGACCCCTTCACAAGTTGCAACGCGAAACAAAGCGAGGCCCCCCATCCAACAGCGAGCGGCAGCGAAGACGACCTGCACACAGCACAGAAAACAGACACCACCTAACAGCAAAATCGAGCCGGGAGCGAAATTAATAATATGACTGAAGAACGACCGAGCCAGCAAGCCAACACACATGGCGCGAAGCTCCTCCGCGAAACAAAGAGAGAAAGAACGAAGACCACACCTCCCAAAGACACACCCACCCACACACACCGCCGCCCCCAGCTTCATCGAGCTAAAAAGCACTCCCCAAGGGCTGGCCACTCACTCACACGAACAAACAGCGAGAAACGCTCTGGCAATCACCTGACGACACAGAGAAGAGGGGGCCCCACCCCATGGGCAGGCAGCCTCACTTACTTAGATTAAAACAAGAAGCACCCCTACCCTGCGCCAGATTTCCACGCCCCGACATGTACAGAGAAAAGCGCCCAGCGCTTTGCTGGCTCCGGTGTGTCATGACTAGGCAAGTACGCCCAAGCTGCACAGGTGCGAGCCATAACTAATACGAGACAAACAGCGCCCGCCAGTAACTACTTCCCACGCACCCGAAGCAAAAGGCAAGCACCTGCGGCAGCCCTAGACCTGCAGCGACGTGCTGCAGCCCCGGGCCTGCTCGTTTTTAATCTCAGTAGCCAGTGCCGTGAGTGGCCCAAGCTGCGGCGCGCCTCCCTCGTTCGCTCCTAAGTCACTGCCTTAGCAAGATGAAAGCCACGACAGCGAGGGGCCGGCGCCAGGTCCTTCGGCTCATGTGTTTCTGTTTGCTTTTTTCTTTGCAGAAGCAAGCACGGCACGCGCCATCCGCTTCAGCGCGTGGAACTGATACCAACACCGGCCACAAACAAGCCACACCCCTGCCCCCTGCTTAAATTTTTTGCCTCACGCACCGAAATGACCACACTCGCGGCCCCAGCTGCCAGCTTGTGCCAGGGGCCTGCTGCAAAAGCTGCGCAGCGTATATTTTTAAAGACAGAAGCGGGCAAAGACATGCTCTGCATACTATATTAGACACCAAAAGAAAAAAAGAACCACACACACCACCCCCGCCTGCTTGGTCATTTCGACACCAAGCCGCGCGCGCGCAGCGCGCGCTTCTGTTTTTCCATCCGCGCGCTTTTTTTGCGGGCTCCGTTTTACATGCAGAAAAAAACCAAGCGCACGCAGCGCGCCCCTCTAGTTTTTTTTTGTTTTTTCCAAGTGAGAAGCTTGACGCGCGAAAGCCTTCCCCCTCTGAATTCTTGGCGCTACTACCCTCCGCCCTTGAAATTGCTTGGGTGTTCGGGGGGTCAAACTGCCCCCATATCGCAGGGGGGGTTTTCATTGAAAACCCCCCCCGCGATATTGTGCGAAAGTAGCCCCGGAACGCAGTTCCTTGAAGAGAACGCGTTCCGGGGCTACTTTCGCACAATATCGCAGGGGGGGTTTTCACTGAAAACCCCCCCCGCGATATGGGGGCAGTTTGACCCCCCGAACACCCAAGCAATTTCCAAGGGAAAGGGTAGTCGCCCCAAGAATCTAGAGGGGGACAGCTTTCACCATTTATTTTCTCACTTAGAAAAAAGCCAAAAAAAGTAGAAGAGCGCGCTGCGCGCGCCTCGTCTTTTTTTCTTGCACAGAAAAGCCTGCAAAAACAAGGCAGAAAAACAGGAGCACACGCGCAGTGCTCGCGCCTATAGAACGAAGGCAGAAACCCAGGCGAGCTGCCTGGCCCCCCGTTCCTTTCCCGTCGCTCTGCATACTGCCAGAGAGGCAGACACACACGAAAAAGAGCGACCCCACCCACGCAAACCGAGGACACCCACAGACAGAACCAACAAAGCAAGCACGTGGCCCCATCTTTGCGCGCCTGTTGCCTGTTGCGCTGGTTCACTTTGCTGCACCCTACCCGGAGGAGGGCAGCCAAGGCTGGCCTGAGAATGAACCTGGGCAAGCAGCTGCCAACTACCTGCACCCGACCACCAAGCCGCCAGCATAACCAGCGCGACCAAGGGGAGCACGTTGCTCACAAAAGTAGAGTGGCCGACAGCCTGCCACAAGTCAGAACAACACACACCACGCACCCAAGCCAGCGCGCCGCGCCGTGTGTTTCGCAATCGTTTCAATCAGCAGCACCTTTTGGGTGCCTCCATCTCCATGGTGATGCCATTGCCAATACCATAGCCAACAAGCCCCGAAAAGAGAAGAGAAGCCCCGCACATGGCGCCCCTGTCTCACTCCAATGATGCAACACAGAAGACGAAAGCACTGGGCCGCGCCAAAGGTGGAAGGCAGTGAGCGCCACTCGCCTCCCATTTTGAGCCGCAGAACACTACACAGCGCACCCCCCACCTCCGAAAGAAAGCCCAGCCAAGGCCCGACACAAGTTGCCCCACTCCGCTGCAGAACCTGCGACACCAGGCAGCCGCACGCCGCAGCGCAAACCTGACGGACCACGCGCCACCTGTGCCCCTCACTGGGCACACCCACGAGCGATCGACGGAGCAGCGGCTCTCAAATGCGAACGAGCCGACGAGCCCCAGAAAAGTGAAGGCGCGGCGCCCTCCTAGCGGCGGCGCCGGGGTTCAAGCTGTGCCCCCCGCTTGGCTTCTCCCTCGTTCTCCATAAGTTGCCCAACCAACACCAGAGAGCAGCGAGGGGTATAAGCTCTAAAACACACACCAAAAAGCAAAACGAACCACGACGCGAGGCCAGAACCCCTTGCCCTGCCCATGGGCGCTTCTGCGTTTTGATGGTCTCGCGCTGGCCTGCGTCTGCCCCCCCGCTGAGCTGCTTGCGGATGAAAGACATGACACCGACGACGCCCGAAAGAAGACCAAAAAAAAAAAACAACCGCTATAATCTATCAGCACACACCCCAGAGGCCCCCGCCTGCTTGGGCTTACTTTCTCTCCTTTTAGGAGCAATAGTATAAGCATCACCAGCGCCAGCAAGTTCCCTCGGCTTCGACGTAGCCCCCAAGGAACAAGAAGGCGACACCACCTCACGCCGCTCAAAGCAGTCACCCCCCCAAATCACAAAGAAGCCGCAAAGCGCCGCGCGCTCTCATGGCTTTAGAACAAAGAATCAACTCCGCAGGCAGGTCCACCACCGAAGAAGGTAGCTGCCCTAGCCAGGGGAAGAGAGTTCACCCACGGCCCAGCGCCAACAACGAACGACGGCGCAATCAAGGCGCTACCTTGCGAGAAGCAAACGACCCACACCAACCAAAAGCACTGCGGCGCCATTACCTAAGACACACAACAGCAGCCGAAGAGCACCCGAGACAGAGATGACCAGGCAAGGCCTTCCGATCCGTGTTTCCGAAAAGGCTCCCGATGTTTACAACTATAATCCCCCAAAAGCCCGCCACCCCTTAGCACGCACACCAGCCCGCTCACCCAGGGGCACCCCCTAGCTTTTCAAGAAACGCTACACCGAAGCAAGCTTTGGCGGGTCCCCTGGTGCACTGCGTTGCCCCGTAGGCAACACGCGCGCGCCCTCCACGAAAAAGCATAAGCGAAGCCAACCGAACTCGACCAAACGAGCAACGACAAAGAAAAAGCTAGCACAACAAGCGAGAGAGGCTGGCCCCCCACCCCAGAGCCGCCTCCAGGTAGTTCCAACCAAGGTGCCCACGTTCTCCCTCGATGTATTACCCCGAGCCTGCAAAACCCGGCAGCACCCGCTTCGGGTTCCGCTCTCCTTCAAACAATCCAACGGAAGCCACACCCCCACAGACACCCGAGACACAACTACACACAAGCCCAGCCAGGTGGCACTCGAGTTTCATTAAGACGGGGCGCCCTCCCTGCCCGCAGAAACAAAGAGCCACACAGCTACACCATGCACCGTCCCCACGGCACCGCAGCGGCAGCCCCTCGCGTAGCCCCGCTCAGTTACCTCGCCGAAAGAGTGAGCCAGCGAAACTATTAACATAGGGCCCCCCCGCTGCTTCACGCGTTTCACCTGCCCCGCACAGCAGACCCCGACAAAAGCAGCGGAGGCGCGCCACCTATGCACGCCGTCGCCCGCTCTGTTTGCTACCATCGACCGACACCCACGGGGGCGGCGCCGTGGCGGCTTTGTGAGTGCGCTCTGACTGGGCGGCCCCATGCCGCTGCGACGGAGTGGGCGAGCCCATGACCACAAAACGAAGGACCCCGTCACCCACGGAAGCTTTGAAAGGCTTGCCCCTGAAATAATACGCGCGACGGTGTTTGTACCAGGAGAGGGGCCGGCGCCCGTGTCAGCTCTCATTTCTGCGAGAGTGGTCGCGGGGAGTCACACCACAGCGGGGCGGCGTGGTGCATTCAGTCTGGACGCAGTGAAGGAACAGCCAACGGGTGTGCGTTCTTCATTTCTACACGGAAGGGCGAGCGCACTCCGCGGGAGCGCTGAATTTTGCAGCCAGCCGAGGCGGCTTTGGTTGGGCACTATTCGCAAGCACCACGCAAGCAAGCGCGAGGCTGGCCAGAGTGCTTTTCCCCGGCTGTTCTGCACAGGAGGCGCGTGTCACTGTTAAGAACTCTGCCCACGAGATTCGAAGACCCTACTATTAGGAGTTTAAGAGTACTTCATTCACATCATTCTACAAGCCTTAATCTCTGTGCGGGCTTTGTGCCTTCAAGGAACGGGGTCGCTCCTGAGGTTGCTTGTTTCTTCAACGCAAGAGCGTCCTGAGGCAACTGCAAGCGTTCGAAGAGCTTTGTCAAAGCGGGCACGTTAAACCCATCACCAGTCAGCGATTTCACCTCTGCTATCCATTGCGTGGCATTAGAAATGGGCTTTCAGGACGAGAATATTTACTCAGCGGAGCAGCCTTATGCAGTACCTATAGACTCATCACATGAGTTTGAATATCACTGCTAAATCTAAAACAAAAAAGCACACTTCTTAGCAAGCATCAAATTCAGAGAGCCAAGAACAAAGCCAATAACAAGTTACGCTTATAAAAATGAGTCCTTTAGTGGCATAACTTTAGACATTAATCCCGTCCTTCCTCCACTCGAGGCTGCTTCTCCTCCTCCCGTAGGCGAACCTGTAGTCGTCGTGCAGGACTCAAAAAACTTCGCTACAGAGCTGGCTGACGATTTGCCAACATTAGAAGAAGTCTGCTACGATCGATAGGATAGAATAAGGCATGAAGATAGGAATGGCCTCATCATCTACGAGCCTTCTAACTATGCGTATACCTAGGTATGTCTAGCTACCTATAGTACCATCTAAAAGCTATCATAGAACTTGGTTAGTTGATGGCCAACATTAAGAAAGAAGTTCTTTGTAGTTGGTGGTCTTTGCCGCGTTATCTATGAAGGAACACCAAGATCAAGCTGACTTACTGTAGCAAATCCAAATCATCCTTCAAAATAACCTAAAGTTTAAGTTTGTCTCCGATCTGTGATTCATGGGGATCGAGATGAAGCAAATGCAAAGGCAGCGACCTAGTACAAAAGTACAAGTAGGATAGTCAAGGTGAACGATTTCACATCACTGCTTTGCTTCAGTGAAATTCACAATCCTCGAAAAAGTGGCTTTTTATCGCCCACCAATTCAATTTAAAACCGTAGAGCCAACTTTCTCCAGGACACCTACACGCGCACCAAAGTAGTAGATTACCAAAGAGAGCAACACAAACACACTAGGAATAGCACAATGGTGAAAATGTTCACTACGAAAGAGGTGAAACAGGTGGAGCAGGATCAGGCTGATGATGACGACGAGGATGATGATTTGATGATAATGATGACGATGCTGGCAATGATTTCAAATTGAACTTCCACAATCCTCGAAAAAGTGGCTTTTTATCGCCCAAGGAATCAATTCAAAATCTGATGTGTCATTTGCAGCGACTATCAAGTTCAACTTTCTTCATTTTCAGCATTCTATCAATGAGTTAGACTATAGCATGGTGGCAGTGGCACACTGCACTATGAAAGTGACGAATCAAATCAAGTCGAGCATTAGCATGACGCTGGTGCTTATAGAGTCACGAACGTGAGCAACTCGACCGTCACACTTGAAAGGTGGACATGTGCTCGCCCCCCACACCCACTCCCACAATGAAAGTACCATTTTGAGTCATCTAAAAGGACCACACGACACTACGTATTGATCAACGAGAACCGAAGCAGCCTAATCCTACGTACAAGAATCTGCATACAACACCTCAATACAAGACCTACATCGACAACACCTACATACAACACCTCAACACAAGAGCTGCATGCAACACCTCAACACAAGAGCTGCATACAAGAGCTCAACACAAGAGCTGCATACAAGAGCTAGATACATCCAGACCTTAACATTTGTGTAGAGTCGATCGACGCCATGACAAAACGTAGCAAAGCACATCTGCTGACCGCGTAATAACTCGTCCACGATGCGTAGAACCTCAGAACAGCTCAGAAAAACTCTTCGACGTTGGATCACCACTCTTTTTAGAGCCAGGTTGCCAGTATTCATCTTGAGCTGCATCTTGGGCTTTTCTGTCCCCGCAAATATCACACGTCGATGTCAAGAAACATGCACTACCAAGGACCTTCAGGATGGTATATTTCCAGACCTGAAGGGGTTTTTCAAGGTGAACTACGGTGACGATCCTTAATTTTTTATGTGAGGTAGCAGCCTCTGCAGATCCTCCCGGAGTCACGGCATCAAGCGATAAATCTGGCGCACTAGCAGCCTTTCCATCGCCTCTTGCACGCGAAGTTGTTCCAACATCACCGTCTAAAACTTTCGAAGAATTTCTACTCCCTGACAATATGCCTTTTTTCATCTTATCCTCGTCTTGTGCCGCTGCAATATTTAAAGCTATAATTGCGAAATTTAAGATGATCACATCGTAGTTGAGACGAGCATGCTTCTTCTGGGTGCTTTTTCGAAATACCAACCGAAGGATGGTAAAAAGACGAAGGATGTTGTTTGAGGATACAATAATAATAATAATAGCGGGGGCAAGGTGAGCCCGGGGTTTGGTGGGCTGTTCACTACAGTACTCCACGCACCACGCATCAGGTGCAAGACAATAGGAGTTTGAGGATACAACTACATAGATACATCCAGCGTGCGTGTACACCATATGGTGCTGTAGAAGAAGCCTTAAGACATTCAGTTCCTCTTCTTCTACCGCAGATAAACCGCAATTATGTATCGCTACGGATATTGCTTGAGCAGCGCCGCAATACACCTTCGCACCCATCTGCGGAACCAGAATTAGACATTTATAGAGATGAAACTAACTAAGCGTAAGCGATTATAGAAAGAACCTCTCAGTAGTGGTAGTCCACTTCTCCCTAACAGTTAGTAGTCTACTAAGAAGTAGACTACCTAGTCTTCTACTACGTACGCCTAACAGAAACAGTCACCAGTGTTTAGAGTATAGAGACTTAACAGAAGTCGTCTCTGCTTCTCTGACACAGCCGATAGACGGGGACTGGATATGCCGGTATTCTGGGGGCTGCTGTTTCGACGAGAATCTGTATTTGTTTCAAGTAGGAACCATCCTGAATCTGGTATGTGTATGTTGTACTATAGGAAACAAACTGCTCATATAATCTGATGGCTCAACAGACACAAACGCATTTAACCTGACTCAAGCAGCGTTTGAAGTATGAAGATTTCATGGACATGGACACGGATCCGATTAAGTACTTATGAAGTGCATAAAGCAAATCCCTAGCTGGAGGTGGGAACACGACCGTGTGTACCATTCGCTGAGGAGCGTCCACGTGCATCCCTTGATGACTGCAAACTAGCGTTGAATTGATCCGGGGCTTTCAAATCGTCTTCAAGATCTACTCTGCTTGAGATGACGCCTCTGATGTTGTCTTCTTCTCCTCCCCCTGGCAGACCACTGCTGCTGGTCATATATTCACACGTATCCAGTACACCGGAGACGTCCACCGTTCATGTTAAAGGTCTAGTCAAACAAGTCGAAGCCAATCACTAGTAGTAGTGACTACTCTAATATTAGAAATTGATGTTAATATGTGTTAGGAATAGAAATAGTTGTGAGAACTCCCCTAATCTTTATATGTATAATGCGTCGTTGAGTGATGTGTGTGTGTGACGTTGAGTGCTGGATTTTTTCTTTTTTGCTTTTATTCCTTGGAATCTTCTATTCCCTCTATTCGTATTCCCCCCTTATCAAGAGAACAAGTGACCCACTTAGGAGCAGAGTCCACGCAAAAGAAATAGTGACTGCTGTACATCATGTTAAGTCCCGCTGTAAAATGCCAGCTTCTTCTAAATCTAAATCTATTCCCTTGACTTTTACCTTTACGACCAAGTGGAGGAGCGAAGGACCTTTACGACCGTGACCAAGTAGAATACGCCACGCTACGTACCTAGTGATAGTGTTAGTGACTCAGCCTGGCTCAGCCTGTACATGTACAACGAGGCTTAATGACGAGAAGTCCCGCTGTAAAATGCCAGCTTCTGTAAGTACGAAGAACAAGTCCTCAAACGCAATAAACCCGTAGCCAAAAAAGCGCGACTCTTCTTCAGCACGTTCTCGCTGCTGTCGCTGGACCATGCTATTAGGGCTTGCAAGTTGACCGATCTAGGTCGCATATGATATGCTCTTCTTTCTCGTTGAAAAGGTCATAGATATGCTCTTAGAAGATATGTCAACTTCCAAGGGCCTTAATCCTAGGCGTTCCCGGAGTTTGCTGTGCACTTTCCCGAGAAACACTTTCGGCTGCTGCTGCTGGTGGATTAGAGACTTAGCCACTAAATCTTCTACTTGTACAACGAACAATTTACAAGAACAATAGTGATTCATCGAAGTACTTCTACTTAGAGGTAAAAACTGCCTTAACTGCAGAAGTGGGAGCTGTCGCTGCACTATCCGTAGGCTGGTCCATAGGGTTTATATTGCCTGATGACGCCAAACGTGAGTCCTCCAAATCTCCTGCCTCCTCGCCAAACGTGAGTCCTCCATCCAAATCTAGCCTTTTCTTAGATAGTGCCTGGTGGAAAAAAAAGGTGGTGGAAAAGAAAGCGTTTGTTGTGATTATCGTTTGTCACATTCAGTTGATGTGACTGCGAGAAGTGAGTACTTATTTCTTGGAGAGAGCCTTCGGTGTCCCATCCACATTCCTAAGGTTTGTTAAAAAGATGAAAATGAACGCCGAATTAACAAGTAGGCGCATATTATCTCTCATCCCATGGACATGAAGTTCGTTGAAAGAAGAGATGAACAATATGATCAACTAGAACTAGTACTAGTCAACTACAACTAGAACTACTAGATCTAGAAGTAATTATCACTAGAAGATCTAGAGGTAATAATTACCTCTAGAAGATGAAGATCTAGATGAGGTAATTAGTCTATTAGAATAATTACTAATAATTCTAATTCTATCAAAGAAAATTCTATCAAAGAAATAGGAAGCCGAAGCCTGGCTACACACCCATAATTTTCGCAAGAAAGACGCGATCGGTTGGACTGTAAGTGTCCCATGTGGGCGGAAACGTGGGACCATAGGCATCCCGAATCGCTTTTGCTGCGGCATTTGGTTTAGAGCCCACCCGGATCCATCCTGTGAATAGTTCTGGTATTTGGTAGCCTGATTTTGATCATAAGGAGAACAAGAAGAGGACCCTTGTGATCAAATTCAGGTTACCAAATACCAGAACCATACATCCTGAGATAGAGATGCATCCTGGGACCGGTTCACCAGTGAAAAGAAACGGGTCCGAGAAAGATGCTTCCGAGGATGGATTAGGGGAAGCCTTAATTGGTCTACTCCTCAAGTCCGCATTCAGCGTACGAGCTACAAGCAATGGAGCCGCGTACTTCCTCTCGTATAGGTCACGGCAGACAAAGCTTAGATAGTATTAGCTAGTAGTGATATCAATCTAACGAGAAATGGATGCCACACGTCGCGTCATGGAACCTCTTATGTTTATGTAGCATTTGAGATCTACTTTTCTTGAAGCCACTCAATACAAAGGTACGTCCTGATGACACAGAAGTAGACGAACGTACCACACAGTAGATAAACGCGAAAAAAGGAAAACAACCTTCGCCCTTAATCTTGCCACCGCCGTTGCTGCTCCAAACCGATTTCCACAAAAATGCCACATCTCCCTTAACCCTCGATCTTGAAACGCTTCTACAAATCTTGAGACACTACTCAGCTGTCGCACACTGTTCGCACTTCCACTCAAAGTTCTCAAATTTAGAGCTCGCCAAGATTTCAAAGATTGTTGTGAGATGAAGAGATGTGGATGGATGTACTACATGGCCTTGCCTTGCTGGTTTTCTGTCTATTGTCAGTTAAGTTCACGTTCTCATCAAGCCTTAACAAATCCAAGATCGCATCCGAAGCTGAAACACGTTTCTTCGCGTTTCCGACCTTGGTTCCTGGAGTACTACTTGTGCCAGCACCTCCTGGAGTACTTGTGGCACCGGAAAAATTAGAACTGCTGCAGCTGAATGATGTCCATGTTCCTCTTGATCCTTGTCATGAACCTCCTTTTCTACTGGAAGTAAAAGCACTTCATAGAAGACGGAAGCACCCGAACAGTATACTACAACTGACAATCTTACTGTTACTTTTCGACTTCGGGTAGCCGTTTTCTCACTCGACGTACAACATTAGAGAGACTATGTTCTTTCTACGCGATTTTCCGCCTATTTCTTTTTTTGCCTCAAACAAAGCGCTCGCAGCAGCACCGCTCAGACCGGATACCGCAGATTGCGCAGAACTTCTTGCTTTCGGTAGCGTAGCCATTGAAGAGAAATCCGAAGCCATGATACTCGAGAAGTCTGCTGCCACTGACTTTGCTAGGATTAGACCTTCCGTATATTCATCTTAAAAAAGTGCATTTTTGACCATTTTCCCCCCTGAAAATGCGTCAAAGATGCTTCTTAACCATATTAAGATGAATTATTGGTGCTTGTGGTGGAAGCCTTAATAAGATGCCTTCCTGATGGTCTAAGATCGCAGTTCGTAGCGCTTCTGGATTGTCATTAGATCACCATCACTCTACTAAATGTACTTGAAGATGGTTTCTTACCCTCGAAAAGCCGCCTCAAGTAAGAACCGGACGCAAATAGTTTCTCCTTGAAAAGCCACTTGCACTTTCTTGTTTAGGATGCCTCTGAAGATGGAACTAGCACTGGGAAACATCTGAAGTTCAGGATGCTTCTGAAGATGGAACTAGCACTACCTAGGAGACGACGCCGTAACTGTCAGGTTAATCAGCAATTGATCGTACAAAGATCCCACACTCCGCAGTAGAAAATCCGAGAATTGCAGTTGGAAACTCTCTAGATTGGATCGAATCTCCAAGACCTTCGCTTCTAGCTGCAATAGCATCTGTTCCTTCAGCTTTTCAGGACGTAGAATTTCGGACTCCACGCGCACGTCCTCCACGTACTCGAGCATGATCTTCGCGTACGGACTTAGAGATAGAGACTTCTCGCGTCGTGGATATTTTCTGTGAAGTTCACAAGATATAGTTACTTATCCACAACATACGGACACGCACACGCTTGTTACACTACCTAGCTGCAAGTACTTAGTATTATAGCGAAATGTAGAATGCAAATAATGCATATGCACAACTACATTTGAACCATAACAATTGCTTCAGCAATTCCAAGGTCTGAGGAGCTGTGTTGCCGTTCTCAAATCTGGCGAAACTTTTAACTCGAGTCGCCAAATTGACGATTCTCGTTTGGGAACCTCCAAAATTATCCATTTCTCTGCTTTCTCCTGGTGCTAGAATCCCCGCACTGCCTGAGAAACCTTCACCAGGAGAACCTCTGGCGTCGTCCGGGCTCTTTCCGAAGAAGTTGCGTGCGACCCGCTCTTTGCTATCGCTTGCGAAGAAAAGCCACCTTTCCGGCATTGCGAGTTCTAATAGGCGGGACAGAGGTTAGATGTTGAGTTTGGTGAGGATATTTTTAAGAATATGACCTTGGTGAGGTTGACGAGAACATCATGGTTCATGATCACTGCTGACTACGTAGAAACTCACGTTTTTATGCAATGTATGTCTTCCCTAATATAAAATCAATATCAATGCTGAGTTTTGGTCCATACTCTAACAAAGAAACCAACGTAGAAAGCCAGTACTAGTAGTCAGAAGATGACTCAACTCCACAATGTATGCTATTGCCAATGCCTGTATGCTTGTGTGCTTGTAATTCTAGAAGTACGCCCTTCCCCTTAAATAGCAAAATCCCCTGCCAAAACCTCCCACGCAGATCGAGTATCGCCCTCGTCCACGTCTGAGAACAAGGCCTCGTAAAACTTGTCTGCCTCAGCAGGTCCTCCCGTAGTCTTCGCCATATTCTTGTACTCCAGTAAACGGTCCTCGCTTTTTGGAAAAACAGCCTCTCTGTCCCGGTTCAGAAAATTCCCGAGAATCTTCAGCTTTTCTTTATCTGCGTTCTTCGCATGTGGATCTCTGCCGGCCATCAGCCGGCTCATTCGGTTGATATCTGCCTGAGTTGGTAGAAGGTGAGCGGCGGAACTGACCGGAGCGTTAAAAACCGTTGTGGATGCACTTCTAGGGTCGGCTGCGGCAGTAGAAGAAGTGCTGGCTTTGTTAGAGATAGAAGAAGACGATAGCAGGAAAAACAAATTCTCTTTGCTTTTGACACAATCTTGATCTTGAAGTGTGGTGAACAAATAAATACATCTACTTCTAAGTAGTAGATGTATTCCACTTTGGTGTCAAAATTGAAACTGTAATAATAATATACCTATTGACCACTCGTCAGCACTTACTTCTCATTGATTTGGTACCTTCTTTCTTACCCTCCCAAAAGAATGAAAAGACTTACCAGAAGTTAAAGTTTTTTGCCTTAGCACTTCCCTCCACTACGTAGCTCTTTGCTGCATCGGTCCACTTGTCGCCTAAGTCCTCAGTGTTATCGGAGAGCAAGGGGTAAACCTGCCGTTGACACGTACGCTGCTGCTCCTCGTTCACTTCTTCATCTAACGCAGCTGCTTCTTCATTTCTTTCCCTCTCTTAGACGAGGTCGTACCGTTTTCTTGTTTCTGCTGCCAGTTTGTTCATCTGCCTTTCTCGTCCCTTAGGAGAGGCAAAATAACCGGAAACAGGAACACCTTCAGGAAATACTCTTAACTCTCTAGATCGTCCAACTCAGCTAGAAGCGCATCGAACTCTACTGTCGCATAGGTTCGCCAGATAGCTCTGTACGCATGCTGCGCCACCCGTGGAAGAAAACCTTTGTTTTCATCTGGTGCTGCGCTGGGGAGGTTTTAGATGTCGTAGTTCTTAAGGTTGACGAGGTGGAACGTGACAAGTTTTTCACTGTTAAGAATAAGAAGGATGATGAAGTTTCTAGCCTGTAGGCGTACCCGTCAGTTAGACGGTTATTGAACAACTTGAGTAAAGAATAATTGTTATTGTTTTGCCTGTACAATGCTAAAATAGTAAGTTTGTGCTTTGGAGTTAAGGTGGCGTGTCGCTTCATCTATCTACCAGTCTGCTTACTTGAAAAATGATCACGATCTGATCTCTCGAGCCGGACGATCAAGTCTCATTCCATAATTGGTCCCTTCTTCCGTTGCTGATGCAGGTGGAGTAGGTGGAGCTCTACTAGTTGCCTCTACTTTGTCACTCTCCACCTCAGCGAAAAAGACATTCGGAATCGCCGCATGCATCAGACGTCGCAAGCGTGCCGCGTCCCGATTGGAAACAACCGAATTTATCGGAACATGTGAACTTTCATCCACTATCTTTAGTACTCCGTTGGAGCAGTACTGTGCTGCTTCTTTTTGTGTAGAAGTCATTCCTGCAGCTCCGGATTGATCTTCATTTTTAGAAGAAGCGAAGTGGTACTTAGATAATAAGGTTGCAAGATAAAGGTTAGGTAAGGTTTCACAGCTCCCCTTGCCCTTAATAAGGTTAAGAAATGAAGTGGCCGAATCAAGAAGCTGCTGAACCTGAAGGAGCTGCAGCTGTAGTAGTAATTCTTGGAATATGTTGTATCTTCTGTATGATTGCCGCATTTTGTTACTTCTAGCACCTACTGATTCTCACTTCCATGTATCAAGAACAAGAACAACTCAAGAAGTCTAAGATAACATCTCCCACTTCACGACTACTTACACCTCCGACTCTTAACTTTAGCTGCGCCTTCCGATGCTCCTTCTCCTCCTTTTGTTAGCCCTTCATCACGACTTTCATCTCGATTCAACTGCTCCTCTAAGGCTGTCTGTTCGTGGACGTAGTGCGCATACACTGATCGACTCCCACCCTCCCCTGAGGCACCGCCTCCGGACATATCGCCGCCTCTGGATTAGAAGATGTTGAACAATTTGAGGCACTACTTGGTACACAAAGTCAAAATTTAGAGTAAATTTGAAAGAACTGCAAGGTTCTAAGCTTACTCCGTTTTTTGATAGTACAACGAATCGATCACGATCATTCTGAGCCTGAGGATTCTGTAGAACCTCCACAGTTGCTATACTAGAAGTGATACGACTCATCAAACTACGGTACTATAATCTAAAGCCGTAACCAAGACCTCCGAAGTTTTGATCTCCCATCCTGGCTGCTTTGCGCTGGAAAAACTCTCGTTTCTCGGCTCCCCAGGTGTCGAGGGCTAGCTGAATACAAGCACGCAAAATCTTTTCAGCTAGTGCTTGGTTTAGAGAATGAAAAGCTAATAGGTCACGTCTTTAGTTGATGTAGTGCCACACCATAACAAAACGATGTCCCGCATTTGTGTCTGCAAAGCCAAGCGAGAGAGGAGCAGGCGAAAGATGAGGTACAGCATGCCACCAAGCCAGAGCAGGTACGCCACTGTGTCTTGATGCATGATGAGGCCGACTAGCATCAGAATCAGCCAAAACGCCGCAAAGAAGCAGAGAAACACAAAGCCGAACGAATTTATCGAATACGACATTGCACGGACACTTTTTTGCATCTGCAGAAGGAGTCTTGTGCAGCACCCGCTCCGATTAAGCCCACGCCTCCTACTTCTTCGGCTTTTCGCCAGACCCTTTGTGCTCGCAACATCTCCTCCAACTCCAACGTCATCCTCGAAATACGTAGAATGCAGGTTGAACATGTCGAAAAAGTTCTCATGTACCAAGGCCGCAGCACGAATGAAGCAGAAAAGCAAAACGCCGTAAAAAAGCACGTTCCAGAGGATGGAAACCAGCGTACTCCGTGCAGAAACGCGGAGGAAACGGAGGAGGGTTAGAGAGAAGAGAGGAAGCTCATGTGAATGCCTGAAGCTGGCAGTATAGCTAAGACTAGGCATTTCTATCTTGATGAAATGTCTGCAGCTGCTTATATCTACAAATTATCCAACATGAACAATATTTGAAAGATTATATGGTGCCTGGTACCCGCAACGGCAGGGTCCCGCCCAGTGATGAAAGACGAGGAAGAGGATGTGCAACTTCAGTTCATAAATACAGATAATTTGCAAGGTCCAACAATGTAACCCAACATGTGACGACAATTCGCCATGTTTTCGACCGACTATCCTTCGATCGGACGACAGTGGGCTTCCTCTTCGTGCCAGCACTAGAAGCTGGTTGGCCAAGCTCCGCAGCGGCACTGATTCCGGTGTTCTGGTTTTGCGTGGCAGTACCAGTTCCTTCGCCCCTACTTGTGCTTGTTGTGTTAGAGGTACTTTATAGAAATTGATGTTACGCTAGGCAGGATGAAGATTGCACTACTCATCTAGCAGTTTTGTTTTCATTATTTAGTACCTATAATTAGTATTTCCTCATGCTTCATCTTCGGAACAATTAGGAAAATTTGAATTGGCTTGTTCAATAAAACAAAAACTGCATGTGCATCATCACGAGTTACAGTATTGTCGTCCTTGTTCTGCTTAACTGTTGCAGCCGCGGTTGCACCACCAGCAGCACCTTGACCTTTTTCGATGGCAAATAGGTCCTCCGGTGCGTTGAGGTTGCTCTTGTGTAGGTGATACGATTTTTT